CCTTATCCCCATCCCTATCCTCCAGGAAGGTTCCCCAAGGCTACCATGGAATGAGGGCATACCAGCAGCCCATCTCATGCACCCCACTAGGAAGGCTGTGGTCCTTGGCATCACACCGCCAGACTGCTGATACCTAAGAGGGAGTGCCTCAGAGTGAAGTCTGCATCCTGGCCAGACATACTTTGACTCTGAGGACAGCCCTAGGATTTGGTAGATATTAGGGATATACAAAGCGGGCCCTATTTGATTTGGATTCAGATTTGGCCCAAATCAGAGACAGTGATTCAATTTGTTGATTTGGACCACTGTCCCTGATTCGATTCAGCCAAATCCAAATCTGAAGATTTGATGCCGATTCAGAGAATCAGTGATTCGGACATAGACACAGCTTTAAAAGTTTTTTCTACAAACCTCAACGTACCAGTGCGGCTTGTAAATGCTGCGATGTGGGGTGGATGGAGCATCCCACAGGAGCATGGGGGGGCCCTCCCCATGCTTGTCAGCAAATCCAGAAGTGGATCGGAAGTATTTCCAATCCACTTCCGGGTCCACCAGGGGGTGTGCTGGGGGCTCCCTGTACCCCTCCAGCTCAGTGACTGGCCATGGGGGGACTCCAGGTGCCATCCCAGACCCAGGAGGCACCAGTCGCTGAGCCAAGGGGATGCAGGGCCCCCCCCACCGTGTGCTCCCCAGCGGCCCAGAAGTGCTTCTGGTCCATGTCTGGGTCTGCTGCCACGTGTGCTGGGGATCCCCTCCCGTGCTTCTGTGGGACACTCCATGTGCCCCAGCGCTGCGGCATTGACAAGCCGCCTGCTACCTAGAGGTATGTAGAAAAAACATTTAAAGCTGTGTCTGTCTGAATCACCGTATCTTTCCGAATTGATTTGGAGGGTTTGAATGGGGGCAACAGCCCTGGGCCCCACAGAGCCAGGTGGAGTGGTTGTGGCCACTCTGCATTGCTGCCGGCTTCACATCTGGGCTCTTGGCATTGCCCCCCGCACTCCCGCCACTGAATCCACTGCTTGACC